CTTTGGGAAAACATCTCATTCTTTATTATAAATGAATGAGCTGGGTCACTCAAAGTTTCATTGCTAGATGATTGCTAAATAATATATATATATATAAAACATTTTATATACTATATGTATATGTGTGTGAATATATATATTCTAAATTTTATATCTATCCACAATACATTTGAGGTATCAATTATAAAGTATGTCATTATTTTACATACAAATAAACAGGAAGGAAAAATGTGAGTCAGAAATTCTTGGTTTAGAGATGCTCCAATAAGAGAAGCAACCATGCCTACTCATGTTGGCATGGATGGGAGATCTCAAGGTTCCGAGCAGAGGACAATGGCTTTGACTCTCAGTCTAGCCCCATAGCATCCCTACTCCTTAGTAACTGGGGAGCTTGACAAACCATTTCATCTTGCTATGCCTCTGTATATTTTTCGTAAATTCCATTTACCTGATATTATTAATAATGCCTATTTCTCATCATTTCACTGAATTAAAAGTGATTCATTATATTATCTAGTATGTGCCTGGCACTCATCTGCTATCACCATTGCTATAATTCTGGTAATACTGGAATTAAGAATTTAACAAATCTCAAATGGCTTTCCTTTAATCTGAATGAGTTCACCTAGTCTCGGTTGCCAAACCTTAAGACATTGTTTAAAGTGGTAATGGCTTTGCTTCCCCAAGTGCCTTAACTTTTGAGAAGTAAAATGAAATAAAATAAAATGAAAGCATCTTCTAAAATGGAGTCAAAGCACCTTCCTAAACTGAAGAACTGCAGAGCCCTAAGGAGCTGATGAGTCAAACACCATGGTGATCATTTGCATATTGCTTTGCATGGCATTTGACACTACTGGTTCATTTTTGCTTAAAGTGAAATTCTGCCCACCATCGGGTTCTTTGCTAGTCCCCTTAGATCCCTAGGTGTGGAGTTGGCTGCCTTTGCTGGGAAGAAAAAAAAGCAAGTGGGGAGTCTCATGTAGTTACTGCACGTGTCTCAGTGGCAAGGGGAGCTCAGCTGAGAAGGAAGCAAAGTCTGTCCTTAGTGGGCCAGACCACAGCGAATCAGTCACCCAGGCTGCAGACCACCTCACAGAGGATGGTCACTGACTCATGGACTGCTAAGCCCCAAATAGCACCAGATCGTATCTCCTAAGAGCAACCCCTCAGTTCACAAATATAAGTTAGATGATACACAACTAAGTGGCTTAGAATGTAGTTTCTGACCACTGGCAGCTTCCCAATCAAACCAGGGTAACGCTTCCCTTTTCCTGAGTGTGAATAATTATGGGTTAAGGAACAAACAACAAAAAGATTTATAGCAACTCTCAAAAATGTTAAAATTTAGCTGGGCGTGTGTGGCTCACATCTGTAATCCTAGCTACTCAGGATGCTGAAATCTGCATCATGGTTCAAAGCCAACTAGGACAGAAAAGTCTATGAGATTCTTATCTCTAATAATTTACAAAACAAAAACAAAAACCAGAAATGGAGCTGTGGCTCAAGTTAGAGCACTAGCCTTGAGCACAAAATCTCAGGGATACCACCCAGGCCCCAGTTTAAGCTGCAGGACTGGAACAAAAAAGGGTTAATATTTCCTTCCTTCGTTCATTCCTTTTTTTTTTTTTCCTTGTTGGTTGTGGGGCTTGAACTCTGGGCCAGGGTACTGCCCCTGAGTTTTTCAGCTCAAGGCTGGCACTCTACCACTTGAGCTACAGCACCACTTCCGGTTTTCTGGTGGTTAATTGGAGATAAAAGTCTTATGGACTTTCATTGCCCAGGCTGGCTTTGAACCTCAATCCTAAGATCTCAGCCTCCTGAGTAGCTAGGATTACAGGCTAAGGTTAAGATTTAAAGTAAAATAAGGCAGCTAATATCTAGTAATACAAAAAAAGAAAAATTAACACATAATTAATCAGGGCACTGTTGCCAGGATCTTCTGTCAGCCCTATCATTTGGATTCCTAACTTCTTGTACATAAATGATAATGAACCTACATTTATATAGATATTAACAGGTTAATTTAGTTGTTCTTTCTTGGGAATAACTGGATACTTTCTAAAATTCAAATACCAATAACATACTGTTAGTATATAGATTAGGCAATGATCCTATAAGATGTAGATACTGAATATCTTGTTTATAAAAGAGCTGAAAATAGTGACTAATGACTAATGAGCCTGTGAACAGCACATATAAATAACAACTCCTATTATTCTTAGGATTCTACATGAATTATTTGAATAGTAAACCCCACCAACTGGTTATAAAATTCACAATTCATGTCTGGATACTGAGTATTTATATCTGGATATTCAAATTACATTTGAATACTATGTAGAAGGTTTTAGAAGTACATTTTTTATCAAAGGATAATTTTTATTTTGTGCTTTACAACTATATCAAAAATATTGGTTAGGCTATTAAAATTACTAGAAATAAACTAATACATCATACTTTAATGACTTCAGTTAAATTAAAATTTCAAAAATGGACCCTAAGAAATACCTGCCATAAAGATCAACCCTTATAGCACCATTTTATTTTCCAAAATGTCACTCCCATATAATAGTCTTTTTAATTTTATTTTTATTTAATTTTATTTTTTGGTGCTGGTTCTGGGGTTGGAACTCAGGACCTAGACACGGTTCTTAAGCTTTTTGGTCCAAGACTAGTGCTCTATCACTTGGGCTACAGCTCTACTTCCAGAACTTTGGTGGTCAATTAGAGATAAGAGACCCACAGACATTACTGTCCAGGCTTGCCTTGAACTGCAATCCTCCAAACTCAGCCTTCTGAATAGCTGGGATTATACGCTTGAGCCCCCAGTGCCCAGATCTACGATAATCTTTAGAATGATAGAACTTTTAGACGTTCTCTAGTCCAATACTATCATCTTTGGATGCAAGGAAAATTAAGGTCTGGTCTGGAAATTGGCACCCAAAGAAATCAAGTGGCAAGAGCCCACAAGGAGACTGGCAAGCTTTCTGCACAGGGCACTGGAGCTTTTGGGATGAGAACCCTGGCTGGGCAGGTGGCTCTGTTAAGGAGCTTGATGGAGCTTTGTAGGAGTAAAAAAAAAAAAAAATTAAAAATGAGGAAAAGGAATGAGGAGGACTTGAGCCTTGATAAAGGATAATTTAGCATAAAAATGCTGCAGGCACGGAAGTGGAGTTAAGTTCTGGGTTTGAGGTCATCTGGTGAGAGATGCTTCCCCTGGGTGGCCTATGCTTAGGAAGGAAGCGCACAATCACTTCCCCCAGATAACTAGGTAAGCAAACTCACTCTAGGGCAGAGAACTAGTCAGAGGCCAGAGGTGAGCACAGCAAGTGAGTCATCCTCAGTCAGAGCCGTTAGCTGTTTGTCTGTCTCCCAACAAACTTGTGATCTAGAACTGAGCAAGAGGCAAGGGTCTGGTCCTGCTGTGTATGTTTAAAAGCTCCAGATTCTTGTCTAGAAGCTAAGGCAGGTTGGGGAGGAAAGACAATGAAGCAGACATGCTGGTTACTTTCTATAGGCCCCATTTGGGAGAGCAGTCTTGGCTGTGTTTATACTCAGACAGGCTAACCTCCACGAAGGGCGAGAAGAAACAAGGCAGAGCATTTCCTCCATTCTTCCCAGAGCCCCTTCCCAGTGGCTCCTCACTAGTGGTTCCCTTGTGCTAGCCCTGGTCCCTGCAGACCCAGAGACTAGCTCCTTCCTGGGGCCTCCACTCTTCTGGCAGTTTACATGTACTTCTTCATTCACTGCCAACACATCTGAGTTGAAGTCCATCTTACGCCAGACCCTGACTCAACACTGAGGAATATAAGCGCAGCATCTTATATACATTTTCCTTTGCTGAGCAACTTTTTACACTGAGACCTGAGATACTTTGCATGTAAAACTGAAATTTTCACACATTTAAAAAAATAGTAAATGGACCTTGGAGGAAAAAAAATTCATCTTCAAACTCCCAAAGCTGCCTTTGCAGTGTACTGTGCTCTGTTCTCTAGAGCCCTCAGTAGGAAAGATTGGGAATGGATGCTTTACTAGGAGGGAAGACGAAACTTCTGCAGGCTATATCTCTTTGTAAATGGAAAGAAAGTTAGGGTAAATCTCTTGATTGCTTCAAAGGGGCCAGTCTTTCAGAGGAAGCAATCAATTGAGCTGGTGCCAGGGAAGGGCACTGAGGAGGGAGGTTTACCAGGATTGCAGCCCTCACTGGATGAGCCCTGTTTGGCCTTGTACCCTATAGTTTGACCTTGTACCCTATAGTTTTGTTTCTCTCAGAATAGTTCGTGTTTAGGAAAAGGTCCCACCATACAGACAACCTTTTTACTACCAAGGTACATAATACATATTAGAACACTTTTTCATAAAGTCTGTAATTTAAAATTTTCCCATACCATTAGCGATGAAGCATCATTTATTTAAAATAAAATTAAATTAATATCAGCTTATCTTATTCCCTAGCAATGTTGGATATAAAGTTTCATTGGGTTCTCTGGACCAAAGTTCCCTTTTAGCTGAACCCCAGAAAAGACTACAGCCTCTAAGGATACCTTCATAGAAGGAGGAATTCCTGGGTCCCTGGGAAGGAACAGCGCAAAGTCACTGTGGGAAGTGCAGAGAGCTAGGGAGTCCTGCCAGTCCCCCTGCAAACACTCATTTCATTGGAGCCCCTACCCTGCCCCCCTACTCCCCCATATTCTGCCTCTACTAAGCATTCGTGGAAAACATACTCTGAAGCCAAAAAATACATTTGAGTATTACTGGTTTAGAGACTAATTTCAAGTATACACATGAACTGCTACTATGAACAAGTAAAAGACTGCCTTTATCTTTTAATACCAACTTATTTTTAAATGCATTTTTATTAGATATAGAAGGCCTATGTGTTTCAATATCTAACCCCAAGCAGAATGATTTTATTTACAGTGATATAATTTTTAAAGACAAGGTAAATATTACCCAAAGACATTAGGAATTAGTAACGACCAGACCACCAATTTGCTTACCTGCTGTCTCCAGCATTTGCCACATAGAGCTTCCCCAAAAGACACACCACAATGAGGGCGGTGCAGCCACCAGAGATATTATATGAATTCCTCTCTCGTTCTATTTGTAGATCCTGGAGAAGAAGAGGAAATAAGTGCTGAGTTGTGTAGGAACTTGTATTAACGGCTTTCTCACCTCTCAATATGAGTCTGGATATATTTCCATGAGGGACAAGGAAATCCTTGTACTTGCTTTCCTACCACCTAATGAGTATTTCCAGAGACAACCTGGTGCAGAACTGCGAGGTGATAAGACAATTTGTAAACAGACAGGAATAAAAGCATAGCAAACAGACACAACAGACAAAATGCAGAAGAATGAAATGTCAAACATTTTCAATAATCATAGCTTATGGAATGTTTAGTCTGTATGGACTGTCGGAGCTGCCATGTAGAACACTATTAAATAGAGAGGCTAAAAGTGCCAAGTATTGGAATACGATCAATGTTTTTAGCTCCAAAGTCTCTAAAAAACAGTTCCTTTTTTGGCTAAATAGAAGAGATGATTTGAAGAACTGTCTGCTATTCAACACAGGAAGGAGTCAAACATGTATTTATCTCTGACCTGACTTTTCTGCTTCCTAAAGCTACTGGTCCTTTCCCTACACTGGACAGTGTGCTAAGCATTCTGAATTCAGAATCTCATGATAGCTTCAGGACTACCATTAGTAATTTCACTGTGCAGTTACACAGAAATGGGTACGCTGCCCATATTTACCTAGCTAGAACTTGGAATCCAAAGTGGTTCTTGCTCCTTTAAACTCTAACTATTGGGGTATCTTCAAGAAAATTACAAGCCAATCAACACTTCGATAGACAGTTGTACAAATCAAGACAGATGCCTTGGCAAAAACCCTGTGTTAGTGATGGAACCAAGGGTCCTGTGTCTTTAGGAAAATACAAGTAGAATGGAGAAAAATATTGACTTTCAAGCTAAAACTTATCTACTACTGTTGGGGCAGAGGGATAGAAAACGAGGGTTACGTAAAATTTACAAGAGGAAAAATGGCACTGTGGCTGTTCTCAAGATGTTGCTTGTTGATTGAATTCCTGAGTATTTTTCTAAGTCTTAAACCCTCCCCGAGTTAGAACTGAGCTACTTCGGCCAGCCTCTTCACGTCACAAAGGGAGAGAATTCAGCTCTGCATTTTACTAGCAAGTGCTATGCTCCTAGGGCCAGAGATGGTGATATAAAGATAGACACATCACCAACTGAAAACTCTGAACAAAAGAATTTAAGATGAGGGACAGGCTGGGACAGCAGACTGGTTAAGGAGTAAGTAGATAAAATATACAGAAACAGCACAGAAGAGAAACCAAATGCTAGAATGAACTGGTTAAGGGGACGGAGAACTGAGAAGAAAAAGCATAGAGCAAAAGGATGTGTGTGGGTTATGATAGCCTAAAGGTGAGGAAGAAAATATCCCAATAAAGGAAAGGAGGGCAGCATCAAAAGTTGCAGAGGGGCTGAGAAATGAGGATGATGTTCACAGCACTACACTAAATACTGAACATTTATGAGAACTTGGTATGAACTGTCTTTCTTAGACAATGGTTGTGAGCATTGAAGTAGATAAACATGGAGCCAGGGCTTAGCAGGCCAGATGGATACTTCTCATAGCCTGGAAGCATCCCAACTGAGAGTAATTCTAAACATCTACACTAAGCCAGGTAAATGGCAGTTTAATAAATGTCTGTTAAATAGACAAATGAAGAAATGACAAAATATTCGGATTTTGGAATTATCTCCCCAGCATCTAACCTGTGCTTTATCATGAGGAACAGATTCTGTAATTCACCAATGAAAAACTGACCAGGCAAGCTCACAGAGATACTAAGCATCAGCCCTTACTTCAGTTAAATGCAATTAATGGGCAAAAATGAATCGTAATCAGACATTACACAAGGAAGACCAAAGGCTGAGGGTAAAGGCTAGGAAGAGCAAGAATTCTCTCAAGGAAATAAAAGAGAAGAAAGAAAACATCTAGGTATCAGAATTTTTTTGCTTCACTTCCAAAATATATAAACAGGACTAATAAATCTTTTGTAGGTACATTTATTATTTTTTTCATTTAAATGACTACTATAAAGTTGACAATACATGTACATTTCATAAATATTCAGTACAGGGGCTGGGAAGGTGGCTCAGTGGTAGAGCACTTGCCTTGCATGCCTGAGGCCCTAGGTTTGATTCCTCAGCACCACATAAGCAAAAAGAAAAAAGCTGGAAGTGGCACTGTGGCTCAAGTGGTAGAGAGCTAGCCTTGAGCTGAAGAATTAAGGAACAGTGCCCAGGCCCAGACCCCAGGACTGACCAAAAAAAAAAAAAGTTCCTTGAGTATCCAATTGCTTCTATGTTGTATATAGACTAGAACGTGAATAGTGTTTGACAGGCTTAAGCAAATGATTGGCACAAACCAATGGGGGATTGGCACAATCCAATGGGGGAAATTTCCACAGTACATAGTCTAAAAAGAGTTGACACGGAAGAGTTTCTTAGGCATTCAGATAGGCAAGTTTATTCTGCATCACAGGTGGGCAGGAGGAGGGTGTTCTTATCAGGGCTACTAACACAAGAATGTCTGATTTTAAAATTATTTAATCCTTAGGGGAGAGGGAAACAAGGCATAGTATTCAACACCAAGATTTTGCTAAGGCAGTTCATATTTCCTTTGGAAGTTAGGGGAACATTCCAGTCAGTTTATTGTTAATCCCTTATTATATTACATTACTGGTGTGCCTTAATACAATGTTTTGCTTTTTTTAAATACTTGATTTCATTCTTTTCTTTCCTCTTTTTCTACACTTCAACTACATTCCCTTTGTAGCTTTCTTCAAATAAGGAAGGAATGCTAAATTTGGCAGCACTTTCTCAGAGTGGACTAAAGTCTTAACTACATTTTTATTCAAGAAACTGCTTATCTGTGCATGCTCGGAGAGGCCCATTTCCACATCTGTGTGGAAATATGCACATGAAAATTCACACACGTTCACTACACGTGTGCTCTGAGATCGCAGTGACAAGGATTTGAAAGATGTGTTTCTGCAGACTCTACGTCCCTAAAGAATTCACTGGCATTAAAACATACTCTTCTACTTCTTCTAAAACTGTGTGTAACTAGAACAGATTCTAAAAATAATTGCTTCCCTTCCCTCCTCCTTAAAAGCCAAAATAGCACATTTAGTTTTTTCTACATACACCACCTACTCCTCTTTAAAAGATGTTTAGAAAAAAATCTCAGTACTGAAAGGAACATTAAAGGACCATCTGGGTGGTTCTTTTACTATCAGATTAAATGTGATAAATGAAGTCAATAAAGATACACTTACCATTGAATTAACTGCCTTTTCCCTTCAAACCCTCAATCTCTCAAATGAGCTTAAGCTTTTTACACTCTATGTAAAAATAAAAGTATGTGACTATTTTTTAAAGCCCTTAAATTTAGAACATATTTTTTCTGAAATCAGTGAGTGCAACTATAAGAAAAATTGTCTACTGCTTTGGGCTAAGCAATAGCTTGTGGAATATTTCCATTTTAACTGTCAATGAATTCCAACACAAAGTCTAGAATAATTTACTAGTGAAGCATATCAAGATACTATTAACCTTTTCAAGTATGGTCTAAAGAGCATTAAATGACTCATAAGATTCCTTTCACAAGATAATTGATCTATCTACTCAATCAAGTGCTCTAAAGATGTTGAAAGGTAACTTTCTACTTGCTAGGACTAAGGAATTCTGTTTGGCAGGACTAAGGTATTATGCATTAAGGTATTATGTGCTGTAACTGTTTAGGTATGAAATTTAAGCTAGGTTTACCTCTAGTCACAAAACGGACTTGGGATTTTATTTTCCTCCTTTTTATTTCAAGGAATGGGAACAGAAAAGAGATGTATGTGATTGAAGAGACTGATTCAAGACTGATTCAACAGGAAAGAATTATATTTTACCCACAATGGTTGTAATTTGGTTTGAAAGTCTCACTAATGATGCAATTTCAGGATCAGGTTTTGTTTCCTACCAATTTCAGATTGAAAAAAAAAAAGCAGTATATGTCAGCAAGAGTGTTGGGTAGTTTCAGTAGGTCCTGGCAGCATCCCCTAGTTGGTTCAAACATGGTTCTGAGAACACTGCTAATAGTGTCAGTCACAAATAATAAGATTCTGCATGGTTTTAGTATCCAGGTCTCATCCTGGTCTATTCTGAGAACAAGGCCATCAGCCAGCCAGGCTAGGAGGGTGGAAGGTTGTTGGGGTGGGAGAGTATTGACAAACACTGCCACCTGCTGGCTATTACGGAAATACAGCTTCATCCTTTCTGAAGGAACTTTGGTTCTAACAGAAACAAAGACAAATCAAAACTCACACTTAAAGATAGATGTCTGTCCACCAGATGTGGTGGTTCATGCTTATAATCCTATCACTCAGGAGAATGAAATAGGGGGACTTCAAATTACAGGCCAGCCTGGGATAGGGAGACCTTGTCTCAAAAAAAAGTACAAGTTCTTGACTTATTGATATGCTAATTTTCAGTACATGCTAAGATTTATAAACTAGAATAAGCTTTGCCTTTGCTGTGCCCCTTTCCTGACCTCTTGGTCACATTTCTACTATTTTTTCTCTTTCTTTTCTTTTTTCCTTTCTTTCTTCCTCTCTCCTCTCCTTTTTCTTTTTCTTTCCTTCCTTCCTTCCTTCCTTCCTTCCTTCCTCCCTCCCCCTCCCTCCCATCCCTTTCTTCCTTTCCTTCATTCCTTCCTTCATTCCTTCGTTCCTTCCTTTCTTTCGTCAGCAGAACCAAGTTGCCTGGTACTTACTGGAAGATGTATGGTAGTTTCACAAATAACTAAATCTCTAATACATTCTTCATTACGACAGGGAATATGACAGGATCCTTGTGGCTATGTCCAGAACACAAAGCCTGTATGTATGTTATAGACTAAAAGGCCAATTGCTGCTGATTTGGATATGATTCCTAACAGGACAAAGGCAACTACTCCAGCAATGGAATTGGCTACCTCTATGAGTCAGAAATCTTTCTATCCAACCATTCTTTTTGGAGGGTGGAGAAATAGTGAGTTTGAAACTGAGACTTAGAAGACATTTTTCATCTATCTATCAATCAATCAGGGGCAAGACACCAACCTAAATGGAACAAGCAACAAAGCTTAGCTGCTTAAACCAGGCATGTTACAAAACATTACTGGGAAGTAAATTTACAAAGCATATTGGGAAGTAAATTTAAAGTTAAAAAAATGAAGAAGTGTAAGAGATCGTCTAATGAAATCTGGGAGACAAGATTTAGAACAACCTATCTAGATCTATAGTCCAGCTCTGCCATTGTCTACCTGTGATTCTAAACAAGTTATTTAACTTCCCATATTGTTGCTTTTGCTTTCGGATCAGATTTACCTTTGGCAGTGCCTGACAAAGTATGAGTTAATAAGTCATAGATATTATTATCAACACATGCCAACCATTGGCTCTAAGATGCTTAAGATCATAAGAGTGGTCCATACATGAACTTGCTCTTTCAAAATAATTTGAGCAATGCTCTTTCAAAATAGAGCCATGATTTTAGAGCCATGATCCTTTTCCATGCTGGATACAGGAGGAATTGGGTACATAGTCTTCTCACTAGGAAAGAAGATCCAAGATGACACTCAACAATGGCACATACTTACTGTGTGCCCTTGACAGCACACACACAGTAAGTATTAAAGGCCACTGGTCAGAGGTCACCTTTCCCACAAGCCCCACACTGTGCCAGGCAACCCAAGTGTCAAAGATGAAAGCAATGTTTCCAAAGGAACTGCAGCATTTGATAAAACTGCTACCACCTCCCCTTGTTCAAAGCACGCTTTTCTCTTTGTCCATTAAAACTTTATTTTCTGAATAGTATCTACTGAAATATCAACTGCTTATTCTGCCTTGATAGATTATTTTTTTGGATTGGCAACTGTTTTCCAAAAATATTTGAAAAATAACCTGCCTGTGGTTGAAAAAAAAAAAAAACCCTAAGGTTCCTCGTTAAGTACTTTTCTCAATGAGGTTTTCATTTGGAGTACAAACTGCCCGCCTTGTTATAGACTAAAAGGCTAATTGCTGCTGATTTGGATCTGATTCCTAACAGGACAAAGGCAACTACCCCAGCAATGGAATTGGCTACCTCTATAAGTCAGAAATCTTTCTATCCAACCATTTTTTTTGGAAGGTGGAGAAATAGTGAGTTTGAAACTGAGAGAAGAGGCAGGAGCAGCCCAAGATCCTTGCCGAGGCCTTACTCAATGTGATAATGGCCTCTAGTGGGTGAAACTGAGAATGCAGCAGTGGTTTCAAGTTCAAGATGGCCTATATACCCAGAGATTGCTGAAGGAGATGAAAATCAGTTTCCTTCAGTTTTTCACTCCTATCATATAAACTGAGGGCTGTTCTCATTACCAGGTGAGGGCCCACTGTCAGATTCTTGCTGCAGTTATATACTTAGCATCCTGAGCATTATCAGTGTGTAGAAATACTTATTGACATCAGAGCTTTTACAAGAGCCACAGATAAGATATTATGCTGCGCCTCAGCAGTAGTCAATTTTTCTATCTTGATTTGCTTTTTCCTTAAATTATCTTTTCAAGCCTTCTGGTATTTTTGTTGGGACTGCAGAGGTACAGTATACCAGGTGTGTGTGTGTGTGTGTGTGTGTGTGTCTGTGTGTGCGTGTGTGTGTGAGAGAGAGAGACAGAGACAGAGATTTTAAACAGATTTCTAATAAAATGGGCATATTATGTGTGTGACAAGCAAGAAAAACTGAGAACAAAGAAGGGAGGAGTTTGAAAAACAGACGCAAATCTACAATATGAATATTTGAACAATTTTTTCCTTACAAACAAATCAGATGTCAGATGATGATGTTCCTGTGTTCACTGTCTTTTCTCCTCTCATCCGACCGGGGCCTGAAGTGGTATGGTGAGATTTGACATGTGTGCAGTGAATGTTCCATTCTGGGAAGATGCTTCTAGTTCTTTTGCCTCACAGAACAGCTTGTCATTGCTTTTGAATTTTCAGGTTTTAAGGACACCACCACCCACTTGCCTTACTTCAAGTCCTTATAAACAACTTTAAATATCTCTTACTCTTGATCTGCATGCAGGTTGCTGCTCAGGAAAGAACATCTCTGGAATCAAAACAATTGCCTCAGTACCAAGTGAACTCAGACAGGAGGGTGGGGGGGGTAGGTGGGGGGGGCCCAGAACAAAGTGGAGGGGGTCTTCTGGGGGCCTTCCTGCCTGGCAGAGGTCAGTGTGGAAGCGCTGAACATTCTGCCTGAGCTCATTCTCAGAAGCCAGGCACATTCAGACTCAAGGTTAAACAAATCCCTAGAAGCCCAGGCTTCTAGGATACTGGGCTGTGGGTTCCACTCTTTGTCTGGCTAAGCCTACCTACACTTGCATCTGGGTGAGTCATGTATTGGAATGTGGTCTGATAGCCGACTGCAGGCCAGATCTATATAGACTGTGTCTCGGTGCTTCTGAGCACTTTACTAAACACCTGGACTCCATCTGCATGTGTAAAGCAGATGGCTGTCACCCTCACAGTTCAATGAAGTAGGTGGGCGCCAGGCGGCGTCCGTGGGAATGTGATGAGAGGGAAGCAATGAGACCCGCCGTCCACGGGGCGGGGACCTCACGCCCTGGGCCGCGGTCCACGGGGCGGGGACCTCACGCCCTGGGCCGCAGTCCACGGGGCGGGGACCTCACGCCCTGGGCCGCGGTCCACGGGGCAGGACCTCACGCTCTGGGCCTGCCCTCTCTTTCATCTTCTGGCACTCAGGCCACAACCTTATTTTCTTGTCTCCCGGCAACGTGCATTTTGAGGACACCTTTCAGGCCAAGCATTCGGCTTGGGGCCCGGCCCCGTGGCGCTGTACCTACCATCTCCTTGAAGGCGCTCTCCAGAGCCCCGATCACCAGGCACTCGTGGGGAATCTTCTTCTCGGTGAAGAAGCGCGTGGCAGGGGTGCCGGGGGACCCCGGGGCGCCTGCCCCTCCGCGCAGGGAGGCTGCTCGGGTCAGAGTCCTGCTGCTGGGGGGCGCGCCCTCGGGCTCCTCCCCCAGGCAGGTCGGGGGCAGCACGGCCGAGTTCCTCAGGATCTCCACGATGTCCTGCAGCTGCTCGGTGAGGTGCTGCTGCAGTAGGCGCGACGCCACCACGGCCGCCCCGGACCCCGCGTGGCCGTCGAACAGGGACCAGTAGTGGCAAGACACACCCTCGGATTCCTGGTGAGAGAGGGTGACAGGCAAGAGTAAGACCCACAGTAGCCCTGTCCTGGGCCCCTCCTCCCGGCATCCACTTTAATCTGTCTTAGGTCTGAAAATAGTGGGGTTCAAACTTGGAGGGGCGGGTTCCCCTGATTAGTGACTACTGCCCAACACCACTCACGGGGCGAAGGACCCCTGCCTCTCCACCTTGTGGAAGAGTCTAGAAGCTTGCACACCGGCTTACTACTGGGAGCTGGAGATCGACTGTAACTGGATGTGCAGGGTGTGCAGTAGAACTCCATACAGGAGAGCCTCTACAAACCCAGCTTAACCATCAAACTCTTCATCTCCCTTCTATTTCAATCCCAGGTTTGGCCTGGGGTCTTTGGAGAAAGCTGAGCCCTTCTCAAACACAAGGAAAAAGTTGATCACATTTTCCCCTAGTAGGGCCCTTACATTCAAGACAGTTGTCCCATTTTCCCTGCTTGAACCCCCAAATATTTAGAACACGTTTTCCCTTAGACACAGGGTCTCACAAGATGAAGCTGGTTCAAATCTGCTTTTCTTTTTTTTTAAATTTTCTTTTTTTGTACGTTTTTTATTGTAAAAATGTTGCACAGAGGGGTTACAATTACATGAGCAAGGTAACGAGTACATTTCCTATTGAGCATTGTTGCCTCCTCCTGTTTCCCCCCTACCATCCCAAACCCTGCTTTTCTTACTCCTCCCTCCTTTGCTTCTCCAGTTGATGTCACTGGCACCTTTTAGGTCCCTCTTACTTGAATTTACCTGAGTTCTCTTCCTCTACCATAGATTTAGTAGCTACCAGTGGACTTCTAGACTAGTTCAAGCTGTAATTTGAACTACAATTTAAACTATCTTATACATATGTATAAGATCTATGTGACAGGGGCTGGGAAGGTGGCTCAGTGGTAGAGCGCTTGCCTTGCATGCATGAGGGCCCTGGGTTCGATTCCTCAGCACCACATAAGCAGAAAAAAAAGCCGAAGTGGTGCTATGGCTCAAGTGGTAGTGCGCTAGCCTTGAGCTGAAGAGCTGAGGGACAGCGCCCAGGTCCAGAGTTCAGGCCTCATGACCGGACCCCCTCCCAAAAAAATCTATGTGACAGCAACTGTACTAGCAATGGGGCTCAAGGATTGACTGAAAGAGATATTAGAGACCTGTCCTGCGTTTAATAATCTAGTGAGGAAGACAGACACTTGATCAAAAATCACTCACATAAACAAATCGCACATCTGGTCACTTCTATATGGAAGGATTCTTGGTGTCATGAGGCCATCCCACAGAGGGTCACATTATACAAGATAAGGAGGAGAATAAGAATACTAGACAGTAGTATCAAGAGGAGCAAAGGCCCTGTGATAGGAAGAATGCATGAAAAATGGGAGGAGACCAAACCATGCCCGTGTGGCCTGTGTGGTGAGAAAATGAGATAGAAAAGGAGGGAGAAAAGTGTCTGTGCCACTCAGTCCTTACAGGACATATGAAAGACCTTGAAGGTCTTTATCCTGAGAATGACAGAAAAATCAGATGTGATTACAATATCACGCTGTTTCTAAAACAATGCAGCAAGGATTAGGAGAGTGAAAGTGAGGATGACCTTTGAAGGTAAACTGTATCCTAAAACAAAACAAAACAAAAAAAAAACCTGGGCTGGGGTGTAGCTAGGTGGCAAAGCGCTTGCCTAGCAAGTGCAATATCCTGGATTCAATCCCCAGTACCAAAAAAAGAAAAGAAAAAAAATTCAGAAGCACACACAGTAGGCCATGTGATGGAGAGGAAAGTGAGGTGGAAAGAACAGTGGTATCAAGACCAGCAGATCCGGATTCTGACTCCACCTTCCACCCTATTAGATGACTGGAGAGCAGTCAGATTAGAGTCTATCTGGGTCAGGCACAAGTGGAATACTGCTGTTGCTAAACACCCTCTTTGCTGTGGTTTTCAGATATGTAAAATGTAAGTGGAGAAGAGGTGTGGGAGGCTCAATGCAATTGATGTCCAGTGATGGGCTCAGCAATGTGCATGGATCATGCGTGTGTGTTGTCCTATTATCACATCATTACAACACAATCGTGGGTAAGTCATCTGGGCTTCAGTCCTCCACCAAAATGAGGGGCAGCCCTAGGAATCCCCCCAATGCCTCTACTAACGGGGTCCGGGGCGGCCGTGGTGGCGTTGCGCCTGCTGCAGCAGCACCTCACCGAGCAGCTGCAGGACATTGTGGAGATCCTGAGGAACTCGGCCGTGCTGCCCCCGACCTGCCTGGGAGCTGGGGGAGTAGGGGAAGAATTTTTATCTTAAGACAGGCCAAGCATGATTGGGAAGGAATGAAAGATAACACAGAAGGCATCAACCTAGAAACCTAGGACAGGAGAGTACCAGATGACTTAGATGGGAAAATCTGGTGGAAAGCTTCTTATCCAACTTCTGTTTCCTTTCTCCTTACTACCAACTCTGAGGCAGCAATGAACCCATTATACCTTACTTTCCAGATTCTCTTGCACCTATGTGTTGTAATGTGATACACTGGCATGAAGTGGAAGTCTCCTGGACTTTCAGGAAAGATATTGCTTTCCTGATAGATTAAAAAAAAGGCCCAACTTGACTGGCCTGTACTTTTGCCTTCTCTCCTTTCTGCTTCCTGTCTGTATAATAGAAGCAGCACCTGTAGGTGTAGTAACCCTTTGTAAACAAATGAAAGCTGCAGGTTCAGGATAATGGAACAGGAAGTCAGAAACACTTGGGCCCTTGTGGTCCTGGAAGGGAGGACACACAAATCCTGCACAGCATTGCTTTTGTGCTTCTTGTCATATGGACTTCATTAACATTTGGATATGCTATAGTTGTCAGTCTCTGCAATAAGAGCTGGAGACATGGAAAAGAAAGGATGTGCCTGTTTATCTAGTATCCCAGAACTTGTGGCATGAATAGAAGGAGAGATTGCGTACACAGGCAAGCACAGGCACACAAAACAAAGCTGAGTCCCCAGGCCAGGATTCTTAGTGTAGGGCAACTGTGAATAAGATGTAGAGAGTCCATGAATCTATTTTCACAAACCTTTGAAAGTTAGCATTTTTTCTTATTAGGAATATAAGGCAATATTACTGAAAGCTAGCATTTTTCTCTAATTCAGAATATAAGGCAGTGTTAATACCAGCACTTATACTTGTCAAAAGAATCAATACACTGCTAGTTCAAATATATTGAATTACTGTCGGTGCCACTTCTACTTCAAGTTTACAGACATTACCAAGCCTACAACTAGGTCTTGTTATCTGCTGCACTAATAAAAAGTAATATACATTACAAATTTGTTTAATTCTTTGATAACCACTTCAATGTAATTAATTTTAATACTCCTCTATATTTTATTTTATTTGCAGCTCAAAACATCATCCTGCACAAAAAGGTGAAGGTACTACCCTCCAGATTTACTAGAAGGGGCGTATGGAAGATTGGTCTGAGTTCTTGAAGCTGCAGCCTCATGGCCCCATGGATACTGCTTCTGACCAGAGTTTGGCTGCTGCTTAATAAGGAAGAAGGAATACTCACTAACTGACTAGCTTAGCCAGTTTTTTCCTGACCTATGAATCAAGCTTCATAGAAATTACTTATGGTTTACAAAAAAGTACACTTAAATAAAATAAACATAGATAAACTAAAATAACAGAAAGGAAGGGGAGCTTAAAAAATCTGTAAGTATGAAAGGAATCATGAGGAGTCCTTTCATACTCTTTACCTAAAAAATGAGGAACTTTGTCCTTTCTACTGTGTCTCATAGAGATTGACACTGGCGCCCTCATGTGGTAGAAATAAGTTCTTTGAGTGTTCACACATTAGGACATTAAATGAGACATCTGAAGCTGCAGTGGCTTGGGTACTTTCCTACATCCAATAGTTCTGGTAAAATGTGACCCATTACAGGGCCCTTGGTTTCCCCAGCTAAGTGGTATAATAGATTAAATTATTAATTTTTAAGACAAATTAACCCTCACAGAGGAGCCACAGGCCTTATTTATTTACAAAAAAATAAAGGCCCTACAAAAATGGTGTTGATAGGAAACATGAGCAAATTAAGGACCTTATCAGTGCTGTAGATGAATGGATCAAGAAAATGTGGTATATATACACAATGGAATTCTATGCCTCCATCAGAAAGAATGACATTGGCCAATTTGTTAGGAAATGGAAAGACTTGGAAAAAATTATATTAAGTGAAGTAAGCCAAGCCCAAAGAAACATAGGTCCCATGGTTTCCCTTA